TCATGAATCCCATATCTTAACGGTACCCAAAGATTTAACAATTTTGGCACAAGAAACGTGAAATCTGTTTTTTATTTTTTTTTTTAGTTTTCAAAGCAATGTTCATTGTTTTTATTTTTGAAAATTTCTGCATCAAAACCTTGTTAAAACTTTCATTATCATACCCTATAGCGTTAAGAGTACCCCGGGTGTTGTTTGGGGGGGGGTCACCACTAACACTTACAATGCCACAGTGTTCAATCCTAATGTCCAGTATGGGCAAATTCGAGCGACGTCAATAGACAGTAGTTCACTACAGTTGAGGTAAAACCGTCCGAGTGATGGATGGTTTGGACCATCCAGTCGACCATTTGGGACCGCTGATTACCAATAACCCATTCAATTTAACATCACGAAGGGAACCATTCACATGAAAATAATTGTACGAGATTTCAGTGACCATGTGCCGATGTATTGACGTAACCAAGTAACGATGAGATTGAAAACATAATAAATGGCCTAGGGTCGTTTGAGTGTAACTGGTCTGTTCGTGAGCGTCGTGACTGGTTTAACTATAACTTGCTCTTTTTGCTGGGGAAAAAATGCCAATTTTTCTGTTCTCCCGTCCAGAAAATTTGCTCAAACAATAAGCAGATTTTATCTTCTTCATTTGTCTGGAAAGATTGTCCCCTGTATGGATGTGCAAGCGTGGCATACATACTATAGTGTGGACCTCTGCACAAAAGAAGTCCACATAATGTAGGGTGTGATGGCATTGTGTGGACTCGCACATGTCCACACAGTGTTTTCCCCTCTCTGAAAAGCAGTTTCAGTGGCATTTTGGGGGCAGGGTTATCGGTGGCAAAATGAAGAGGAAGAGTCCAGGAAATCATCATCAAAAATCCAGCCCGAAGGAATTTTCCTAACGGGAAAAAAACTTTCCCACTAAGTTATCTTAACCACTGGAGAACACACACAGGTCCACACTTCGTATGTGAAACAAGTGTGTGTGGGGGGGGGGGGTGAATCTGACTGAAAAAAGATAATTAACAAAAAGAATGGTATTTTTGTTTGTATTTTTGATTGATTTGGTTTGTTATTCCTTTTCTGCCGACTGCCGGTAATTTCACACCTCTGTATCCCTCCATAGATGAACCAAGCATAATCACTCGGTGTATCACCTCGGCGAATCATGTATTTACGTTAAACCTATACTGACTTTTAAAATGTCTGGATGACGTGCCCCAAAATTGAGTTGCCTACGTGTTGTGACTTGCCAGCATTGGCAGGCGGGCCAGCAATAATTCTTTACAACCTCTTCACACAGGACTTATTCATCGAAAAAAAAACACACGTTGATTTCAAAGGTTATGGAGTCAGCCATTCAGTCAGCAAATTTCAATACGGGTAATTTCCCCAATGAGAAATCCAGTCTTACGACAACATTTCCTGTGGTGAAGGCCCAAAGAAAATGGCTACTTACTCTGCTGGGCTATTAATACTGATTAGCAATAAAATGTACTCATGTGATCAAAATATTGAGAAACAAGTGAGAAATACAATCTGATATACCTCGTCAATTTCGTAATAAAATAAAACAGGAGCTAAAGATCAGAGCCCTACGAGTCAAACATAGAATTTGTCCAACTTTAGTCGAGTAGGGGAACTCCACAAAATGCAGTCAGATTTGTAATTCGGTTTGGGCAGCACTGGTTTGTCTACAGATTTTGGTCATCTGCTGCCTCCGTTGTGAACTGGAAGAACTCGACCAAGCTGCTGTAAGTTTTATTTCGATGTTTTTATTAATTGCAGCCAAATCAGCTCATTGTAAATCTTCGAACAACGCTTTCATTCCAGTCGATTCTTTTATTGCAAGAGAAGTGAATCAGAAGTACGCAAGTGAGAATTCAGCTAAACAGAAAACACACTCTGAACCGGAAGGAGTGTCACACCATAGGTTACATTCATTATAGGCTTATAAGGAGAATGAGAAAGCTTGCCTCTATTCTTCCGGTACCTGTTGTTACCGTATAGCGTAGTAGACATGGTCACTATCCGGTTCCTAAGTGTGCCGTCACTTCAGTTTAATTGAACCACGCCGCACTGCACATGCACATAGTGTTAAATGCATTTATCGCCGTTTACATGGAACCATGGAACCGGAAGTTAACGCGCAACTTCAGCGATCGTCCAGTAGGAGCCGGCAAATCGTGGCGCGTTCGCCTTTGTGACGAAGTCATTACGAACCGGATACCTAGGAATGCACGTATATTTGACGCGCACGTACAAAGTCAAATCATTTTTCACTTCATAGCCGCCAACCAGGATTGTCAGAAAGAGTTGCATCTGTTTCGTTCATATCCAATATCAAATTTATACATGGTTTCTTGGTTTTTTTTTTTCAATTTTCATATATCTCGATCTACAGCTGGCAGAATAGGTGTACACATAGCCGTGATTTCGTACTTTGTTAAGTTCTTCGCCGGAGGATGGTAATTTGAAAAGTGCGTTGTCCGGTTGTGATTGGCAATATCTGCAGTGGTGTGGTCATTAACAAAGAACGCGTAGGCCATAAAGCCATGGCTGCAAAGGAAGAACAGCAGCACCTTGAAACTAACACAAGAAATGGCTCACCGACGAATGAAAATCGTAGCGTGGGAAGTCAGCTGGAACACTCGCCGGAACAACATCAAGGAACCCAGCGAAACTCCACCTCTGAAAACTCGGAGCGACGACAATATTGGGAAATCACGACAAGGTGTCGCAGGGACTGGGAAAACTATCTTCTCCAAGCAGCTATCCCAGAATTCCAGAATCCAAACGACGGCCTTGATAATCTGTCAGAAGCAGTTGCTGTTAGTGACCATGGAAGTAACCATGGCAACGGAAGTACTGAACCTAGTCTCAGCCACAGAACAACGGATAAACCAGACTACACCAATGCCGCCGAAGAAACATCACAACTTGGAGTCAGTCCTGGGAGCATGACACTGCGGTATTTCCGTGGTAGCAGGCGACACTAAAGTTTTAACCTGTGGACGCAAGTAGTCCTACATGAAGGGATAAGTGGCAAATAAAATATTTATGCATTTCCAATCATGACATCAGGGCAAGGTGAATACACTGCACTTAGAAAATTGGTAAGATCGGTGGTAGGTTCCTGTGGTTAATTGAAACAGCCGTCGGCCTACTGAAGTTTTATACATTAAAAATTGACCACGTGATCACTAATTAAGTTACATTGATAGACACATGCCAGTTATTTTAATATGAAATGCTAAAGGAGTTTTGTAAATTTCTCTTTGTGGCACCTGCTTCGCCTGATCCCTCCGACTTTAGGTTGTAGTTTCAAAAAAGGTCAAGCTACATAATATGTCATAGGAGTACCACACTACATGTATGTGGTCTCAAACAGAACATGGGGGATTTGCATTAAGTTAGAGCAGAAATGATTCTGTGCAGCTCCAAGTAGTTTCGACGTCAGATACGAAGCCGCGAAGGGAGACGTACGAAGCCGAGTTGGGTACGGTTTTGTTAGACAGTGCGTTTATACATCGCGCCCGTCTCCTTACTGCTCAAAAGGAATCTTTTTATATAACCCATCCAGAAAAAACCACGACAGCCCCATTAAGACAGAAATTGATTCACACAAGAACTCTGACTTGTATTTAACTCTCAAAATTACATTTGTATTTGTTAGGTAAGTCTACCCATTTTGAAGACTGTTTTTGACTTCGAAAGTTTAAAACCTGGAGTAACAACGCCCATGCATCGGTGACGTATCTATGGGGGATAGGGACGGGAAGTTCCTGCTGGAGACATGTTGAAAATTTTGAACCGGCAATATTGCATTTGGGGGGGGGTCAGGCGACAAAAAGTAGGCAATAGGTTTTAGAGAAAAGGTCCTTATTTTACCGTGTGGACCCAGACCCTGGATACGCCACTGCCATGCATGCTTGCTATTTCATGCCAGGTCTAAACAGTGTTGCTTTAACGTACGGCAGCATAAGTTTCTTCAGAATATCAACTGTCATAGGATAGTTGGCACATGACTTTCACCATACTCCAAGTACGTACTGACTTGTTAGAATTAAAATACATTATGTGTACTTCCACGAAGCATCTGTCATATAGGTATAATTCCTCCCCATTTTAAACGTTTGAAGAAACCAAGTTTAATGCAATGCAATTATTTGTTTAAAATTAAGCATACATAAAGTATATCAAAAGAACGCTCCCATAATAAATCATTTACAGGTAATGTTTTTGGTTTACTTTTGCATCATTCTACAAACACTTTTGTTCTACAAACCACTGCCTGTTCAGTTTTTCTGTATTTCCTCTATAAACATATTTCACCAACTCCAGACAAATTACACCCACAGCCTAAATTATCAGTACGGGAAAAAACATTATTTTATTGCTTACTTCTTGTTTACCCCGGGAAGACCTGTCAGTGTCAAAGCATTGTTTTCCGTAGGTGCCCAGCAATTACAATCTTTCAAAATTGTCTGATATTAGTTATGAGTTAATAGCCAAATAATTACAAATTCAATAGTACACAGTACTGAAAACAAAGTAAAAAAAATATAAGGCATATAAGACACATAAAAACAAGAAAACAGACAATAAGAAGTTAGCAAAGGAAACTAACACTAAAACAAACATCAAAACAAAACTGGGGAGGGGGCACAAAAGGGGCACCAGCGTTCAGTGAAGTGAGGGGCAAGTTTTTATTAGCCTTGTTCAATACCCATTCATCCGTGGTTTTTTTTGGGGGGGGGGACACCGGAAATTTGTGGATGGGCACCACTGGGCACGTCCCCCATGCCCCCCGTGGCTATGCCACTGTTGGCAGAGTATTAAATGCACGGGCTCAACGATCCACAAATTTACGTACCCTTGCATTACATGTTTGAAAAAAATCGAAATTTTCTGTGCACAAATCGGTGCAACATTGAGATTCAGTGCCTTGGATGACATCATAGTTTTGCTCATGAATATGCAGATCTGCAATAGTATAAAAACACAAAAAGCCCCAAAATGCCGGTTGAAATTGCAAAACAAAAAGTCTCGTTGATAGGATCAAAGTCGACTAGCAAACTCATTGTAGCTAGTATAGTATCAGCTAGGGTAGAACCAACATTAGCAAAGAAACTATTAAATGCATTTACAGAGTCCAATTCAATAGTATTTCATCATCAGATCTAATATTACCTTTATGATAATTTTTATTAGAAAAAATAAATTAGACAAAATGGTTTTAATAACTTTCCATAATTTTCTTGAGTCAGATAATGTACATGTAGTATACATTACAACTTATAAAATAAACTTGGATTTCTTTGACTAGAATAGTGTGCGACACAGTGCCGGTAACAGAACACGGGCCGCGGGAGATGCAGGCTACTTTGCCAGGGAGAATGGACTTGGACCTTCAGCAGGCCGACAACGTTTGTGGCGTGCATGTGACGCCTAACCCCGCATAATTACAATCTTTTATGCACACAGTACAGATCAAAGTTGTATACTAGGCATAATTTCCAGCCTTTCCCAGCAGCGAACTGCTGCAACTGTTTTTCTGTTACAGTCTACGGCATTTCCCTGTAAACAATTAAGAGAAAGGCACAGCTGGCGTGGAGGCCGCATTGCGTTATCAACAATTTCCCCTATGTTTTGCAATGTATGATAAACAAAGCGGGAGCGGCATATTGCGTGCGAGGGGAATCCCCATACGGCGACGCTGTGAGTCAATGCTCTCCGGTACCTACATGTGTACGTTACTTACCGTTACTTCTGATAATACGTGTATCTCGCGACGATAAAAACTACGTCTCTTGCAAACATGGATCAGATCCATGGAAAACGTGGATCGTCCAGGATCACTGCGATTAAGTGCTTTTACTTGATGTTGTTTTGGACGTAAAAGTTATTTCATTTTCAACACGTGATGATGCACGGCAAGTCCTACAACAAATAACATCCACTTCAAGTTGAACACTGTCACGTAAGTATGTACATTAATGAATGGTCTTACCAAAAACCTTAGCCAAAGTAAAGTTAACGTGTACACAGTCTCGTCTTTTCAATACATATCAGTGTATTTCAAATGACTTCAATTCAGCCTTGGTTGTGTTTCTGCTCTTTGCTCAACATTTGCTTATGATGAGAGTTGGCCACTGGTCGAATGTAAATTGCTAAAATATTAAGTCCACCGGTCCACTTTGGTCATGGCAATTCTGTTGTGATAACATTTGCGTCTAAATTGCTCATTATAGGCTTAAGTGATCCATTATCATAATTGATCTTTAGCATAATTGATCCACATACTGCACAACTCTACTTTAAAAACACTCTTCATATGTATTCTTAAACATGCTTTGTTTAATTTGGGCAGCAGGATTGGAGAGGAATTGGTTTGTTTTGATCATTTGGGTCATAAGTTGCTCCCAACACAAGAGAACAGTTATCAGCTGTGCAGTTTTATAGTGCTGAAATAAAAGAGTCAGTTGATAGTATTACTGATATGGTGATGATGTTAAAAGCTCAGCTAGTCATCCCTGTCAAGTAACCCCTTACAGTTGGATGGCTGAGTAGGTTTGAGTCACACTAAAACCAGCTTCAGATTCTCTCCAAATCTCTCTCATCTATAAAGGGATTTCTATTTGTATTTTACTTTCTTGAAAACATCAGGGCCATATTTTAAGACATTTCCTTTTGGTCATTTAAACTCAGTGACATCATCACCACTTCATGGCCACCATGGAAAGAACTCACTGCAAAATCTGTGAAGTACACTTTACTTCTGAAAGTCATGCAGTGTCTCACTACACTGGGAAAAAGCATAAGAAAAAAGTGGACTACACCCGACCAAGACCTGCTGGGACTGGGAGGAGTCGGCACTCGCCTCATTCTTCAACCAGTGAAGTTGATGCAGACCAGTCTCCATCTCCAAATCCAGATGTTGACCAATCAAGAGATAGTGACACTTCACCTATAAGATCATGGCAATCCGATTTTGATAGTCCCAGCAAACCAAATGAATCAGGTCATTATTATTACTGCAAAATCTGCAGCAAGAACTTCTCAGGGCCAGCACCAATGAAGCAGCACATGGAGGGTTCTGCCCATGAAAAGCAACTAAAAAAAGTTCGCAGAGCAGCAGGCATCTCAAAACTGCAAGTTGAGGATCTCTCAGCACAACCCAGAGTGTCAAATTTCACTGGGATGGAGCCCTCAAAGAAAGAATCTTCCCTCAACTTTCAAGCTTTTCCTCGCCAGGCTAAGAAATCCTACGGTCCCCGGTTGAGACACTCGGGTATGGGCTCCAGTCAATTCCTCTGTGGGGAAAGGGCCACAATACGAAGTGATCTGATAAACATATGCATGGAGAAGATCAAGTTTGAAATGTCCCGGATCATCCCCATTATTGCAGAATCTGTTGTGGATGCCGTGCTGAACAGTCTTCCTGACAATGCTGCACAAGAAACTGATGCAGGACAAGATGTTGCAGATAAACCAAAGGATAACTCTGCAGATATGGATAATACAATCTCCACTCATCCACCAATGGAGACAATGAAAGGTTGTCGATCAGGTGATGAATCTGGAGTTTCTCTTGATACTGCATACGGGGGTAAGCCAAATCACAGCAGTGCAGGAGAAAGTGCCCAAAATTCTGATGATGACAGCCATCCAGACAGCCAAGCCAGACAGAAACAACTTCAAGAAGAGATGGAAGAAGTCGATTTAGAAGGGAAGAAGGCTTCACATGCAGGTCCTGATCAAATCACAGGTGGATCCAGTAAGCAAGGTTTTTGTTACAACCGAGGAGATTTGGGCGAGTATTCTCACATTGAAAATGACTTGGATGGGCCTCGCTTTCCTGGACATCATGGACAAAAGCAGAATCCGAATTTCAGGAATATCAGATCTGTAGGCAGTTGCAGGGGGAATGCCAGTGACTACGAAGAGAAGGTAGGATCTGATGGCAATGGTGGAATTCGACTAGGAAGTCAATCACAGCAATACGTGGATGCAGGACTAAGACAAACGTCTTTTAGTTTGGAAAGGGCTGTCAATGAAGGTGAAGAAAATGTGGCAATGGAGTTTGGCTTTGGTGAGTTAGGAACGGAGGAGCGATACTGTAGCATCACATCTCAAGATCTTATGGACTTTGGGGAGCAGAGGGATTTAGAAAATGAGCAGTATTACCCTCGTGTTTCCATGGCAACCAATGGGTCCAATCTTCAACAAAAGCAAGTCCACTATACTGCTGTGCAGCAGCCATACAGCACAAGGTGTGCATCAACTGACGAACACACACTAACAAATATCCCCCAGCTGAAAATGGGGAGTGGTCCCCCCGGATTGCAAAGCTATGCAGTTTGCTTGTCACCACATGATCATCCCTGTGAGCTTTGCCCAGAGGAGCCACCCGAAGATGGAGAGACATCTGATGTGAAGGATCTCATGAATGTGGTAACTGAAATTATCCGTGAACTGGACATTCAAGCTCAAGACAATACTCCTCCATATCCAGTCCACGCAACAACTACTGAGAGTTCTATGTACACCATAACAACAGAGCCTTAACAAACTTGCTAAACCTTGGCATTTTTGTCATGTTTGGCTCCAGGCTTAAATTTATGTAATTTCAGGCCCTATTTGGGCACTTTAGCACAACAGTTGTCCATTTTTGCATTCAGAATATGAATGTCTCTGAGGCTAAAGTTTAAAGTACATCTCTCATTTGAGCATTAAAAGGCTACACTACAGTTGTCTTATTATGTAAAGTACTATGTGCATTAACAACCAAAGTGCTGTTCAGTTTGCAACTTGACCGTGCTTCCCTCTAGCTTTGAAGCATACCGTACTTAGTGCTTTACAAGATACAGGTAGCTTGTTTTTCAGGTAAATTCCCCACCTTCACAAGGTTGTATACACAAAAATGGGAACTCAATCCAGCATTTAAAGTGTTCACAGGACGATTTCTTAGTGGAAACGTTTTTTATAAATGCTCGATTTTAAGATAATGAAGTTCAAAATAATGGACATGAAACATATACAAAAAGGCGTTAATTCTAACCAAATTGATCAAATATCCAATCCAATGAAGAGAATAGGATTTCATTGGTTTTTGGAATGGGAACCTCTTAACTTAGCCGTCCTACTGTACAGAAAAAAAATTGACCAGGTTGGTCTGCCAGCCAAAAATCAATTATGCTAAAAGATCTGCATACGTTAATGGACATGTAGCAGGGGAGTGGAATCGGTTTCTGTCATGTGTTTAAATAATATGAAGATTAGATGAAGTCATAGAGCTGTCAAATGGACCTTTCCATGAAATATGCAAATAAGGCAGGTACATACGCATTACTCTCACTGGTTGGCAAAGTTGCTTAAATCTGTGACATAATACAAATCTCCATGCCTGTGCAACTATGAGCAAACATACATGCCGTTTCTGTACTATTATAGTTTGACATGAGTGCCAAACTTAAGACACGTAACTGTTTCCTTCTAACCTCAGAACACTGGAAACTTCAATTACATGTAGTTTTGAAAAAAGCATGCAGAAGTATTGGACAAAGGCTGTAATATGGTTTTGACTGACCTTCAACACGCCAGGTAATGCTTACAGCAGCACTCCTACACTGCCGACAGTTTTGATGGCCGTGCTTGCCAACCAGTGGTAGTAGGGCCCATGCGCCTGTCTAATTTGCATATATCATGGGAAAGGTCCATTACTAGCTTGCGTTACATGTAACTTCTCATTCCCCTGAGTGGAACCAGCCCAAGTACGGACATTTGTGCATTTGCAGAACACAATGACATAAGATAAGACAAATTTTGAATTATATACTCTAAATGCAATGCCCAAGTATAGCATGGGCCAATAACATAAAAGTACATTTTTTGTAAGCAGTGTGTCATTGGCACATGCTTTACTTGGGAATTGCATTTAGAGTATATAATTCAAAATTTGTCTTATTTCATTGTGTTCTGAGTGATGACAACAGCTAACAACAGTTTAACCAGTGTCACCCAAATGAAGGATGGCTTGGACCATTGCATTGGCCATTTGAAATAAGGCCTTGGGGCATGGTCAACCACTGGTTATCAATAACCAATTTCAATGATCAGTAAGGAGGGAACCTCCTGGGAGAACATTGTGCAAGATGTTATCAAGACGGCCCAGAGTTGCAGCACAGCAAAAATTTGAAGGTGACTGTTGTGTGTGTGTGCCTGTGTTTTCAAAAGTAATTAGCCACTGGTTGAACTATACGTAGTTGGCATCCAAATTTCATCCATAGGGCGTATGTGCAAGCATTTCTGTTTGTGCATACCAGAGCAAGATGCTTATTTATTGACTGCATTTAGCTTTTTGGCATATCAGTTTTAATGACATTTAGCTTCAGAATACAGACACAGATATGCAAATAGCTGTACTAAAGCTTTACTACATCATCCGTGCATGGCAGGCTTCACTGTGCAAAGCTAGTTAACGCTCTTGTTAATTAATATATCTCTATGGATAAATTACATGCAGTATGTGAACAAATAATGGCAACCAAAAAGTATGCAAGTTGAACTTCTCAATTGTGGTAGATAGGTGTACTTGTTATATCCGTAACTCTGTTTTTTTCACTGGCTCAGAACGATCACTGACAGGGCGACATAAACTGCATGTCACCCTTACAATTTGACCTCACATCAGCCTGCATTATTATTCGCACGCACGTTCCTCACAATATCCACGGTAGTGGGCCACTAACCATTAATGTTCAAAGATTCCTTTGTCACCCTTAATTTCTCTTAAATAAATGCATGTCAAAAATCAAGGCAGAGATACGATAAAACAATTGTTGACTGCTGTGAAGTGGGATATGACATTCTGAACATCCTCACTTCCTCAGGTACCGTAGATATAATGCCCTTGGCTTTTTCTTGGAAGCTACAAGCATGCATCCCCTGGGTTTCAAATTGTGATATTCCACATCACAGCAATCAACAGTTGTCCAATGTATGGCCAATAGGCCCTACAGATCTTTGTATGCATCCATTTCACAAGTAAATTATGAGTAGAAAAGTTGTTGCTCAGAAAGTATTAGTGTATTTCCTGGCTTAGGCATTATCAGAACAATTGCATGTCCTTTTTTTATTGTAGTGTTGTGTATTTCCTGGCTTAGGCATTATCAGAATAATTGCATGTCCAGGCTTTTTTATTGTAGTGTTGCAGTTTTAAATGCATGAAAAATTAAAGTTTGGGCCTTTTATGTATGTTATCTTGGTCAGAGGTGGACAAACTTTGAGCAGTTACAATATTTGTGTAACATCTCATTCAGTCAGGAACATATATAAGACAGAAATTCGTTAGGTGCAAACTTTTCCACCTGTGAGCAATTTTCAAACATGAAATGTATTTATACTGTTCTTGAGAAGTACAACTTCATGTACCAAAATATATTACAGGTTTAATGTCTACATTAACCCCAACACTCCCAAGTCCTCCAATTTTAATACGATTTTATATACACCCTGGGGGTTAAGGTTAAAATATACATTTTAAATTTATAAACATATACATGGAATATAAAACAAAATCTTGCACATAATGAATCTTAATTTATCCTTTTAAATATTTGAGTCGTTGTATATGGAGTGTAAAAATTGGCGTCTCATGTGATTGAACTATTGCTAGCACCATCGTACATTAGACTTCAGCATTTGTAACACTGTGAATGCAATCAACTGTGTGGTTGCCTTAGCAAAACTTGTTATTAGCACTAGTCTTGGTTCAAGATGTACGTGTAAGTAATTGAGAATGGACTATAACGGCACTGCTCTTCTTGATTAATGAAAGCTGCTTTGACTCACCTGTTACTGTCACATCTTAGATTTCTGTAGGGACAGGGCGTGGCAGAGATGTACATTAGAGCGTTGGCTGGAATTGTGCATTATTAATTGGAACCATTAGCAACTTGTGGTATTACACAGAAATAATGCCTGATATACATGTAGTAAACTGTTGTTGGCATGCACATGACTTCAGTTCTTGGAACTCCGATGTGATATCAAACGTGTTCCCTTTTTTCCCCAAAGAGCAACAAAGGGATGAGATTTGTCCCAATTTCAGGTTTTTCCTGATGTTAGGAATTGTCAAACACTCTCCTTTAAAATTGGGTAAACCTTTTGTTTACCATTAAGGTGTTTCTACGAATGTAAGTTGATGTAGAACATAGGAAATAGATATTTTAAGGGGTGTCTTAAGGCAAGTACAAATGTATATCTTAGACATCGCTGTGGGGCCCTCACAACTGGTGGTGATTATTTCGTGGATGTCAAATTTTTGTTCAATTCCACCCCTGGCAACCTATCACATTTGTGATCCTTGCAAGATGAAGGTTTATCAAGGTAATAAGTTAATTTTTTCTTACCAAATCCTAAACTTCTGTGCAAAAAGCCAAGATACTGATAAAACCAGGTTGAAATCTGAGGTAGGAGGGGAACTCCATGTAAGTTCTGTGCCGCTTATGAATAGCGCCTTGAACCAAGACTAGATTGGGACAACCAGGTCCAGTAAACTTTGAATAGATAAAACTTTATTCTGCTTGAAATAAGCTGCATGCACACAAGGATGGATCCACAACTACTTTTTTGGTTGAAGGGGAAAACATAACATATATCTTACAAGAGGATAAATATATATACAGCTTCTGCCTCACTCTTTGGGGGAGGGGTCTGAGTTTTTTACGTCACGTTTTATGTCCTTTCTGAAGGATGGGCCCACAATGTGAGGGCTTGTTACATAATTTGGGAATGTATGGCAATGAAATTTCAAATCACCTTTTCATCATGTTTCCATGAATCCTAATTTTTTTCTTGAAGGTGTGGCATGGCCCTCACTGCCTCTGACCTCCAGATCTGTCAATGTAGGTTCAGCATGTAGAAACTTTGGAATGTAAATACAGGGTAGTATAACATATAATTGAAATGCACTGGGCAACATAATAGAAATGCGCTTCTGTCTTTTAGATTTACTTATACAATACAACAGGAAGGTACACCAAAATAATTGCTGTCTAGCGTGAGTGCTGTGAGCAAGTAACTTGACAGATATTTCAAGTCCAAAGTTTTTATCCAAGGCAAGTGAGCGACATGTAATTTTGTTGTCAAATGAAAGGTTTTTGTTCAACTCAAATTCAGAGGTTCATGTATGCCACTGTATGGGTGCGGGAAATAATTTAACAACATTTCGAAAGTGACCTGAGATATGACTTGAGTTGTTAAAAAATAGATACATGTAGATAAACCACTGATGACAAGCACTCTTCACATCTTCACTAAGAAATGTTCCAATACTTTCAGAATCAGCCATTTTGCGTACATATTTTTCATTTTCAACGGTGAAGGGGCATCAAGCTTTATCTTCTGCAATTCTCCAGAATTCCCTAATCTCCTAGAGGATTGGGAAGGTGAAGGTTAACACCGGTCCATACAGAAAGGTCATCATTAAGATTTTTCCTCTCATAAGTTGAACAAAATCAACCCCTCACTTGACAGAAATTCAACATCAGTAACATGCTTTGGAGGAAACATTGGGGTTTGAGATGACTTGAAGATGACTGAATGTAAGCTGAGCCTCTACCAAGAACTTTTTTCAATGAACTGTGTAACAGTCATAATTGCCAGTCAAAAAGCTTTTTCAAATAAAGTAAATGCATGTAGCTTTGGTCATGACAACTGAGTTAAAGTTTCATTTGACATCATGGAATTTTGTGTATATCATATTGTGATGATTGTTATTACAGGCATACGATATATACACCCGTAGATTTACTAAAATCACAGAGACAAGCGTATGCATTGAAAGAAAATGAAATTTTACTGATGCCATACATGACTGGAAAAAGAAATAAAGGACACTACTATTTTCTGCCAAAATTCATGCAATCCTTTGAGATGTTTGAATTTGAAATACTATTTTTGGTCATGATAATTTGGTCAGCGGATATCACTTGGCAATCTCTCCACACTGTTAACGTGTGTGGGCGAGTTAAACACTACATCACTGAGGTCAACATTGCATTCACTGTTTATCGCTTGGACAATATCCCGGAAATCATGGCAGTCATTGTTGGCAAGTGTACCCACATGGGGTCTGGTGTTCATCGGATCAGGGAGTACATTCCCCCCAGGCTGTGGACATCTGTCTTTACTCCTGTCAATCCATTCACTTGACCCTCTTGGCGTAACCTCCGAGTAAAAATCAGCCATGGGCAGCGGTCTTTTCAGTTCTCTCCTGTTTTGGACAGGGTGTTTTGCCAGTTTGTTTTTCTTTAGCAAAAATTTGCTGGCATATTTGCAGCTGACGCAGCGGTATGGCGTGCGGCTATTGTTACTTTCACTATTAGTGTTGCTACTGCCACTCTGTTCATAGAAAATCTGGCACTTCTCGGCCTGGTAACGCAGCACAGGATAGCCCAACGTCTTGACACAGTGCATGTCACCGTCCGCAATGTGAGCTTCAGGGATACCCCTGCAGAATCGTGTTCGCGTCAATTTGCGCAGTAGGCCACAGAACGTAGCCACATCGAATGCTTCTCCGTCAAAGAGCCGGTGTTCCACAGCCTGTTGATACACTGCTTGATAGGTCAGTTTACCATGGCGGTCCAGCGTTAGGCTAGCCAGGTCAGTTGGCAGGCCAACTACACCAAATGTGCCTATTTTCGTGATCACCATGTATTCATTGTCTTCAGTGGTCTCAGTCTGAAATGACAAACATACATCTGTGTAAATACATGCTACAGACGAACCACACTTGATGCTTCACTCTGATTAAACAGAGGACTGTCAATCAGAAGTTTAACCTTAAAAGGGGCTGGTCCCCTATGCATGTATTCACCCGTATTTTCTTTGGTACCATGTATGGAAACTGTTGTACATTTCTATTTGGTTAAATGCACTGAAAAGTTCCCTTTTACACAGTTAAATTATCCATGCTTTCCTGGACAACGGAGGGCACTGTTGCTGTGAAGTCATTTTGGGAAGACATAACAGTGCATAGGTTTTCCTGTTCAAATTGTGACCCCAGAAATTACTTATTGAGAACATCTCCGAGGAAGAGCCTGACGCTTGTTTATTGCTTACATGTACATATAATTTGTACACAAACAACAATAACTCAGCAAAGAGAAAATGAATCCAGCAAAATTTATAAAAATGCAGGACTTTGTGTACAAACAAATGTAACCTTGAGGCTTTTCCCGGGGATGACATCACAGTTTTGTTCATGAATATCAAAATACTCATTAGCATAAACACCAAAAAGGCAGTAAAATACCCTTTGAATGGAACCTTCCCAATTAGCAGTACATGCGCCCTACTACCCCTGGTTGGCAAGCGCGGCCGCCAACACTCTCGCCAGTGTAGGAGAACGCCTTTAACCATAATCTGGCGCACTGAAGGTTGATAAAAACTGTATTACAGCCACTGTCCAATACTTCAACATGCTTTTCTCAAAACTAAGTGAAGTTTTCAGTGTCCTGAGGTTGGAAAGTAACAATTCCTTGTCTTTGAGTTTGGCACTCATGTCAAACTATACTAGTACAGAAACGGTGTGTATGTACTCATAGTCACACGCGCACATGGAGATTTGCATATTTCCTTGGGAATGGTCCATAGTTTAACTCGGGTTAACAAAAAGGTGCATTTTGAAAGTCTGTATTAAAACAAATTGATTGCAGCTACAATTTAACTTATGGAAGGAGGACATATTTGCATATTATACACATTTTGAAGGATTAGTAAAATTTCATGTCCATAAATTGTCACCATTGTATCAAAAGGAAGTTTTTTAACAAGGGTTGGAAAGATAAATCTCTTCAGAACTTGGATAAATCCAGAAGTAGGAAAGCAAGTGTACACACTCCAGCATATTATACACATTTTGAAGGATTAGTAAAATTTCATGTCCATAAATTGTCACCATTGTATCAAAAGGAAGTTTTTTAACAAGGGTTGGAAAGATAAATCTCTTCAGAACTTGGATAAATCCAGAAGTAGGAAAGCAAGTGTACACACTCCAGCCACAACTGCTTAACATGGGCCTTGACAAGTATTATCAGTGACACTTTACCCTAAACTTCAGGTTTTCATAGTCTGCCATCTGTAGAATTTGGTAGGCAGAATCTAGGCAGGTCCCCTTCCAGTGACTCCTGAATTCATCATCCAACTGGGTAAGGTGTGCAGATCTCTGAGAAAATTCAGCCCCTCTTCTTGAGGGTTCGACTGTGTTACCATGGTCTGCAACATCCATGCTCATTAAATCAGTGATAGATTCCATCTGGAAAAAGAAATCAGATTATGTACACAGATGTCCAGCCAGGCATGTACTTATACATACCAGGTTATGGAACAAAACACATTGAAATACAGACACTGTGGGTACCAAACTCGTTCTGGGGACCAGTTTTTGTCCCCACAACTAAGTCCTGGCTCCCTGACAAAAGAAAGAGTCCTCTTAATATGGTGGAGAACTAGCCATGTATGCACACATACACCCACACACAGATGGACAAGGTGGAAATAGTATGCCCTCTCTGCTTGAGAATTATAACCAAAACAAGATTTCTGAAAAAATAAAGCCTGCTGTACAAAATTCTGGAGTTTTAAATAGAGGGTCCAAAAAGAGAACAGAAATGAGGAGGCTTAAAGCACTATTAAGCTTTCTGACTTGTGTGGAACACAAAAATGTTTGTTGAATTTAGACATTACTGAACTACAAAAAATCTGAAGCAAAATGCTGCCATGTTTAATGACAATACACCCAGCAGGTTATTTTGTTTGCTACACTATATTGACACAATTACAATAAAATATGGAGAACTCACGAGGCTTTCTTTGACCAATGGAAGGTCTACTGAGTCCTGCTCATGGACAAGTAAGTATTTCACAATGATTCTTTGTCACATCACTGACATGCTTCTCAGGTCTCTGGTATGCCTTTCTTATTGTAAATTTGTTTTAATGTCACTATAATGTGGTTTAGTTTTGCAGCAAGCACCATACCACGATTGTTTCAACTCACCTCAGCTGATGAGCGGGGGTGGCGACCAAACATGAGAAAGAAGGGGGAAGATTTGGTGGGGGTCTGTTCCTGGGTGCGTATGGAGTATGCTAGCTCCTCCAAATTACGTGCCCAGTTGTCAGGCTTCTCAGTGACCAACTGGTTTAGGTGGGTGGTCAGCATCTGGCTGGTGCGCTCACTCAAGCTGCTGGTCTGTGGATGGTCTGAGCTGGTCACTATCAAGCCAGGGAAGTTTAAGGATTTGCCAATCTCTGTGTTGAGCTGGCACAAAGCACAAAGAAAGAAAAACAAGGGCAAAGGAATATTAAAGGTTAAAACTGTGGACTGTCAACGTCTAAAGAATGAAATCAGTCACTACACGCTGCACTGTGCTGTGCCTCAGCGCTGCATAGCCCAAGCTACCGGCTGCCCAGCTACGCCCGTAAGCAGCGCGGCACTGCAGGAATAATGCAGTCATGTTTTCATTGGTTGCTGTTTACGTTCGTTCTGTGTTGGAAACAAAGGAAACCAGTCCAGAGGAGCTGTATAGACTTGTTAATGTACCATAAGTATCGTTCACACCTCACAAATCACGTGATGCTCCATTTCTGTCTCTTTTTGCCTAAATCCGCCCCAAGCTGAAGTTCACCCAAGTCAGCGAAAGAAAGCAAGATGGTTAAAACCGGGTTCTTGCACGTGTTCTGCGTGTACTCAAACACCATATGCTCCGGAATATTCTGGTTCATAAATGTTCATTTTATATACCCGCTACAAGGTTCCAATGAAATTTTATTTTAACCTGATTGTCTGATTCTTTAGTGAAGGGCAAAATGACCTCTTTTCAAATGTGACCCAATATAATTTTCAAACAACTTGGGGGGGCAGATGAGTGGAGGAAATAATGATTTACTAGAATTTATCAATTTTAAAGAACTTCCAAGATGTTTTGTTGGGTATTCTGAGATTTTTTGGAGGGCATCAGGTTAAGGGCCACTCATCTGAATTCTTGCCCAATTTCCAGACGCCGGCATGTTTGAATTTCAGCCGAAAATCCACGACACTGAAATTGCTCACAAAGTTCAGAAGCTTGCATCTTGAAGGCATCAGTACCAGCATTTATCCCTGTGGATTTAAAGTTTTTCAACAAAGAGGTTTGGCAGCACAATATGAAGAAAGTCAAGTGTTCCACGTAATTCTGTACATATACTTGTGCCTTAGCACGCACGCAACACGTGCAATGACTTACATGAACGTTGTTTCACAGACATTTAAACAGGTGCGGCTTATATGGCGACTTTAAATCTCAATTTACAGATTTTTGCTTGGTGCAGCTTATAATCCGTATGGCCTATATTCTAAAATTAAGGTAAACTGTGGTGCTGCGTGAAAGTAACGTGAAAGTTACATCAAATCCACTCTGCCTTTGCATCCCAAATGCAAAGACCAGGATAAATTGACCAACGTTCTTCCCACACATCCTCACTCTGGAATTTCTTACCTACAGTGTTGTATATCATGTTTCTCATTCAATCTCTCCAAGTTCAATCACAGCATAAATATTCTACATGAAGTTCTTTCTCTTTTTATTCAATTCCTTTTATCTAATCCTTTTATAGGGGTAATTCCAGAAATTAGGGGTCCATTTTCAGAACACACTTTCTAATTTCCAAGAGTGATGAATTAATGCAAATTACCAGCCAAACAAATAGTAATAGTTTGAAATCAATTCCGGTGACTTTTTTCAAGATGTATTTTTGCG